TTTTGTCCCCTCCCTGTTTTTATATTATTTTTGCTTCCCTTCCCTTATATTCATCTGTTTTGTATCTTAAAGTCCTCACATGAGTGAAGTCATGATATTTGTCTTTCTCTGACTAATTTCGCTTAGCACAATAGCCTCCAGTTCCATCCATATAGTTGCAAATGGCGTGATTTTGTCATTGTTAAGGTTTCTGAGCCTCACTTCCCCCAGTCTCTGGAGTAGGGATGATGTTATTGGCCTTACAGGGTTGTAAGGAAGATTCATTGGAATACTTAGTAATAATAATTGTAATATCAATAGCCAATGTTTACTGAACACTTCCTATGGGCCTGACATCGTTCTGAGCACTTTATATGAATTAGCTTGTTGAATCTTCATAACAATCCAAGAGTCTTAATAAAAATCCTTACATGATTCCCATTTTATAAATGAGAAAATCAGGTTAAATGACTTGACCAAAGTCACATGAGGAAAGAGCAGAGTCAAGATTTGAGCCTGGTGGTGGCAGTCACTGCCTCCTAAGCCCCTGGGTGCCAGCATACTGTCCCTGGCGTTTTAATATAATATCTGGTTTAATCCTCATAACAACCCTACAGGGATGGTATTATTATCCTATGTATCCTTATATTGTGGCTGAAGGTGTTGGAGCCCAGAGAGGCAGGTGATCTTCCTGGGGACGCCCAGCATGAGTCTGTGATATCAGCATTCAGGACCTGCTTCTGCCCTGGCCCTGATTGGGGGATTTCTGCCTTCTTTCTGCATTTATCCAATACAAGGAAGTCTTACCTCTGATGGCATTTATGACTTCAGCCATTGGGAAGCTCCCCCTTAGGGCAAGCTGAAATCTGTCCCCTCTGAGCTCCGGGCCCCAGGGACCTCACAGAGCTTCTTAGGGTTAGCCATACAAGTCCTTACTTCTTCCTCCTCTAGATATTGTTTGTTCCTGGCCCCTTCTTATCCTCCAAACTGCTGTAGACAATCAATGTCTACGTTGTCAAATCTGGCCCATTTATGAAGAGGGATTGAGTTGACTGTCCTCCTTGTCCTGGGCACCAACTCCTATTGACCAAAACCTTTAGCCTCAGCCTGGCAGTGATGAAAACTCCAGGTGAGATCTATATTCAGTATGTTGACTTTTTATTTTTATTTTTGAGAAAGAGACAGAGTGTGAATGGGGGAGGGGCAGAGAGAGAGGGAGACCCAGAATCTGAAGCAGGCTCCAGGCTCTGAGCTGTCAACACAGAGCCAGATGCAGGGCTTGAACTCACGAGCTCAGTGATCATGACCTGAGCTGGAGTTGAATACCTAACCGACTGAGCCATGCAGGGGCGTCTTGACTTTTGAGTGGAAGTAAAGTGGTTTGTGGTTTTAGAGACCAGCTCCAGATATCCTCTTGTTCCCCCCCCCCCCCCCCCCCCCCCCGCCCCGACACACACCTCCTGTTTGGGGAAATCAAACTTCCCTGGGTTTTTCAGCATTCTCATAAAAAGCCCTGGTAGCTTCTTAAGACTTTTCAATACCTTGAGGGTAAAATCTGTAGTCATCTGTGTAGTCAAATGCTATGATCCAAAAGATAATAAAACTTATCTCTTTCTGAGAGGCCTAAATGATTATAGCCTGTATAATGTTCCTAGGTGAAGCCTCTGAGGTGCCAGGAAGCCTGGGGTATCTTCCTAAGTGGGCCAGCATGTAACATGCAAGCACTTCAAGTATTCAAGAAAAAATGAGCCTCAGAGCTTGGAGACAAGTTCAAAGACTTGTCCTATTTAAGGTTTACTTATGCTTTTGAGACTGCAATTCATTGTTTATCTGGACACTGCTTTGGGATTTAACAAATTATTAAAAGGAATGGGAGTTTCAGTTCATAAATAAAACTTTTGTAGGGTGACAAATACAAGAATGCCTTGCTTAAATAACAGAGTTCTTTTTTCTCCCTAAATTCTGCATTTTCCTAGGATTTTGATCAAGCACATAAGCACAAATCTATAGTTAATCAACAAGGCTTAATAAGACAATCTTTAATATTCATCTATTATAAGATCATTGAGATTATACAGCTGTGCTATCCCATTTGATAGCCACTATAAACATGTGGCTCTTGAGCACCTGAAATGAGGCTATTCTGAAATGAGATTTGCCCTATGTGTAATATACACACTTGATTTGTATGAAAAAGAGAATGTAAAATATTTTGTTAATAATTAATTTTTTTAATGTTTATTTATTTTTTGAGAGAGTGTGAGCGGGGAAGGTGCAGAGAGAGAGGGGGGCACAGAATCTGAAGCAGTCTCCAGGCTCTGAGCTGTCAGCACAGAGCCCGACATGGGGCTCGAACCCATGAGCTGTGAGATCATGACCTGAGCTGAAGTCGGATGCTTAACCTACTGAGCCACCCAGGTACTCTTCATTAATATATTTTAAAAATATATATTTATTTTTGAGAAAGAGAGAGATAGAGAGTGTGTGACAGAGTAGGGGAGGGGCAGAGAGAGAATTCCAAGCAGGCTCCAAGCTGTTAGCACAGAGACGTGGGGCTTGAACTCATGAACCATGAGATCATGACCTGAGCTGAAATCAAGGGTCGGACGCTTAACTGATTGAGCCATCCAGGCACTCCAATAAATTTTTTTTTTTAAAGTTAGCTCTATGCCCAATATAGGGCTTAAACTCACTACCCTGAAATCAAGAGTTGCATGGTCTATGTCAGTAGGATGCCCCACATTAATAATTTTCAAATTGGTTACATGTCAAATGATAGTATCTTGGATACATTAGGTTAAATAAAATATATTCTTGAAATTAAAAATAAGTAAATAAAAACAATCAAACAAAAGATGAGCTGAGATGGGCAGGGATCTACCTGGCTTCTGGGGAGATTTATTTACTTGGCAAAGAGTTGCAATAAAAAGATCTTCAAGGAGGGGAGGGGAACAGTTGATTTCTACTCCTTGAAAGGAATTCTTCCTTGTTGCTCACATATAAGGTGTCTGGCTACCCTCATGGGAAAATTGACCTGGCTCTCATCCCATCATCCTATGGCACAGGACATTTACTGCTTGCTGGGAGATATTTAATAACTCTGTCTCTTATTAAAGAACACCTCATGTGCACATTTGGGATAAAATTAATAAAAATGAACATTAAAAACACAAGAGGCAAAAAGAGAGTCCAAAGGGGAGAGTAAGACTGAAACATAAGCAGAAACTCAGATTAAGACAGAATGCCATTGAGGGAGAAATGAACAAATACAGGGAAAAGCTGAGAGAAAGTGACTGCGAGGCCAAAAGAAAAGGACCCAGTGAGCTTGTGTGTTTATTCATTCATTGAGTATTTATTGTGTACGTGCAGTGTGTACACACTTTATTCTAGGTTGGAGACAAGCAGTGTAAAAAATTTATATTCCAGTAGGAGGAATCAGACTTTCAAGAGCCAATAAGTAAAATGTTGCTTGTCAGATGGTAATAAATTTTATGGGGGAAAATAGAACAGGCAAGGGAAATGTGAGATTTAAAATCAAGGAGTTAGGAAAAGCCTCACTGAAAAGGTGACACCGGGTAATGATCTGAGGCAGAACAGGAAGGAAACCAGCTGTACAGGGGTTTGAAAGAGTGTTCCAGGCAGAGGGGACAGCAAGCCCAAAGGCCAAGGCTGGAGTGAGCAGGTGGGGAGGGGTGAGAGAAGAGTAACATAGGGCCTTGAAGGGCACAGTGAGGACTTTGGTTTTCATTCTGAATGATACGTAAACTGAGAATCGAAGGCTAAGCATGTAAAGGCCTGCTCTCAGGGCAGAATCAACTTCTCGACTGCAGGCCCTGGATTCAGTTCATTAATTTATTCAACTATCCCTCTAACATTCATTTCCCAAGCACTTAGGGAAGCCGGCTTTGCCCCAGGGATTCTGCTGGGCACTGGAAAGACCAGCAGGGAAAAGCCTTTCTCCTCAAGTCTGGAGGAAGAAAAGCTTTCAGGGTGGGCTGAAGTCCTGTCCTCCTGCAGTGTGATCTTGGAGAGCCATAAACTTGGGGAGTAAGTGGGTGACAAACTGGGGAAGGACCACAGACTGGGAAGGGGGAGGCTAGAGAGTGTGGAGGTGGGGGTGGAGGAGAAAGGAGAGACTCCTCCCAAACATGTTCCTGTTTTGTTTTGTTTTTTCTGTGGTATGACAGGCCCTGCCTCCCTGCTGGTTGTGATTTCTGGCTCCAGGCTGAGCCGGGGAAGGGACAGTGGGATGGGCCAGGACAGGTGGCCTTGACATGTGATGCTTGTCCCCTGACCACTCAGTCCTCACTTTTAGAACTGTTTCCAGAAGTGATAGGAAGGGGTGGGCAGGGCAGCTAAATATAGTCCTGGGGCCAGGGCTCAGTCTGGGAGGGTCTGTCCATTATTCACTGTGTGCCTTCCCGGTGGTGTCCACTGTTAGCTGCCCCTGTGAGTTCCCGTCCTTGCTCTGAGTTTGCGGCTTGCCCCTTGCTTGTCTTCAGACACAGATTTGACTCCCTGTAAGGTTAGGCCTGACCTTGACGGGGCCTCCTGGGAGTCTCTTTTTGCCCAAGATCTCCATCCAGACCTGTGAGTCCTATGGGTCCTCGGGAGGCCTGGAGATGTGGGGGAGGGGAGGGCTGGGGATCCTGGAGAGGTGAGTGAAAGAATGGTAGGGCCTGGGGGCTCTGGGGAATTTGGGGCTGGGGCTGAGGCCTGGGGTTAAGACAGGGAAGGACAGTGGGTAAGACTGCAACCGGAACTCGGGTTTAGGACCTGGGATTGAGACAAGGTCCCTCTTAGAAGCAATTTTGGGGGCTGAAGCTGAGAAATGCAGCTGAGTCTGCTTTGGGGATTGAAACTGAGTCCCTCTTCCCCCTTGCCCAGAACTAGACTCCTTTTGTGTATGAGATGTGGGGTCTTTATAGGCTGGGGATCCCCCCTGTCTGGGTCTGGGGCCGGGCCTATCTCGCGGCTCCGCGGAGCCTCCCTGATTGACCCCTCCTCTCCTCAGGTCCGTCATGTCGGCCGCGCCTGGTCTCCTGCACCAGGAGCTGTCCTGCCCGCTGTGCCTGCAGCTGTTTGACGCGCCTGTGACGGCCGAGTGTGGCCACAGCTTCTGCCGAGCCTGCCTGAGCCGCGTGGCAGGGGAGCCGGCGGCGGACGGCACTGTGCCCTGCCCGTGCTGCCAGGCACTCACGCGGCCGCAGGCGCTCAGCACCAACCTGCAGCTGGCGCGCCTGGTGGAGGGGCTGGCGCAGGTGCCGCAGGGCCACTGCGAGGAGCACCTAGACCCGCTCAGCATCTACTGCGAGCAGGACCGCGCGCTCGTGTGCGGCGTGTGCGCCTCGCTCGGTTCGCACCGCGGCCACCGCCTGCTCCCCGCCGCCGAAGCCCATGCGCGCCTCAAGGTGCGGGGCTCGGGAGGCCTCAGGCGGCAGTGGGGGGCGGTGGCGGGGACCGGGGTGGGACGAGGTTGTTGGCTGGAGCGGAGTTTGGCCGATCTGGAGGTCACTGCATTGACCTGGATTCTGAGCTTCAGGGCCCAGGGCGCCTGGAGTTTCGGGGGACGCGGGCGGGGCGAGGCCGCTCGGGAATGCGGGCTGAGGAGCTGAAGGCGGAGCCTGCCGGGGCCGAGCCAGGAGCCTGGAGGAGGCGCTCAGGGGCTGCGGCCCCAAACGTAGATTTTCCGGGCTTAGCTACTGGAGCGCGCCCAGAGACGCGGGGGCCACCGCCTCCAAGCCGAGTTGGGTGGAGGCCGGGGAGGAAATGACTAGATGGGCGGGGCTTGGGGCCAGGTCAGGCGGCTGGGGGCCTCCGGCTGAGGCGGCTAGGCTACTTCGCCTACGTTCTCCTCGGAGCTGCAAAACTTGTGCGGGCCTAAGGGTCACAATATCTGGCGGGGAGGGCAACGCAGATCTGTGTGCAGGCCCCCTTTGGCACCGAGACCCCAAACCAGGTTGTTTTTCTAGATGGAGCTGGAAGTCTTGAACGCTTCCAGAGCCCACACACAATTGTGGGCACCCCAAGGTTTGCAATTGCCACGGGTGCCCAGAAAAGACACCCAGACATTAGCAAACAGAGACGCAGGCTCACGCTGGTTGGTCCATGTCAGACGTGTGCCACATCTGAGGGCATGTAGCTGAGGGAGAGTGTGTGTCTACACAGGCCCCTCACGGTGTCATGAAGCATTTGTTGGGCTGTGGAAGAATAAAGGACAGCTGTGGGGAGCTGGAAGAGGCGGGTTCTGGAGGCAGGCAGCGGTCCTTGCTCCCCCGCAGTGAAGCTGCCATTGTCTTCTCCTGAATGAGGAGTTGGGTGGGATTCTGCGGATTATCTTTGCCCACAAACATCAGCATTGCACTGCAGCGATTCTGCTTGGTCCCCAGACGACGACGACTTCCTCTTCTTCCTCCTCCTCCCCTCCTCCTCCTCCTCCTCCTTCTTCTTCTTCTTCTTCTTCTTCTTCTTCTTCTTCTTCTTCTTCCTCCTCCTCCTTCTCCTCCCCCTCCTCCTCCTCCTCCTCCTCTTCCTCCTCCTCCTCCTTCTATGTTTATTTTTCAGACAGAGAGAGAGAGAGAAGCAGGGGGTGGGCGTGGGCACAGTATCCAAAGCTGGCGGGCTCTGTGCTGACAGTAGAGTGCCTCGTGCAGGGCTCAACCCATAAACCTGAGATCATGACCTGAGCAGAAGTCTAACGCTTAACTGACTGAGCCACTCATGCACCCCAGGCCCCCAGACTTCTAAAAAGGGTAGACCACCTCCTCAGGCTGATATTTGAGGCTTCCAGACTCCTCCAGGGAACTAGCCTCACCATTCCTCCAGCTCCTGCCTTGCCCAGTTCTGTTAAGTGCTGACTTGTGGTCCCCTAGATCAGTGCAGGAACTTCCTCTTCCCAGGAGCCTTCCTAATCCAGGCTCACCTTTGCTGTTAACCCCAGAACTCCCAATCTGGTCGAGAGAGAGAGAGGGAGAGAGAGATCTGCAAAGAGAGAATAGAGAGAGGGAGAGAGAGAGAGATCTGCAAAGAGAGAATAGAGTCTGCGAAATGGAACAGAGCACCAGGTGACCCAGGAGCCTCGAAGGGGCAGGTGGGGCAGGATACATTCCTGCCAGGGTATGCCCTGGCTGCGTGGAGGGGCTGGCAGGAATTCTGAAGAAGGGACGCCAGGAAGAAGTCTGAAGGAGGAGGGAGACAGGCTGGGGCGTGGCTGAATGCCTGGGTCCCTGGCGATGAAGAGGGACTGGGTCCACAGACCATGTGTCCTCAGGACTCAAGAGTGGTCGAATGGGATCTGCCGGGACTCACGCCATCCCCTAAAACCTTGCGGTCTCTTCTTGCTTACCGATGTCGCGCAGCAGGACTGCCTTGAGCTCATAGTCCTCGCGGCAGAGAGTGTCCAGCTTGTAGGTGAGGTCACAGCACGTCGAGGCCCAGCGGCCCAGCAACCCGGGTGGGATGTTCTGAAGGTCTTCCGGGAGCGGCTTCTCCCCTCGCTTCAGTTTGAACTTCTTGAACACATCGGGAGTCAGGGGTTCTGGTCATACTTCTGCCTCATGGCTTAGCCTTGCCGCCTCTGAACCTCTGACGGCTCCATGCTGAGAGCCACCAGGCCCTCTCTGTCCTGTGCAGGTGGGGCCATTGCCCAGGAGGGCGTCCCAGGAAGGAGACGGACCTGGCGCCTGGCCAGGTGACCATGGTCTCCATGGTCCAATCCTGGGGCTACCGCCAGCCGTGGACTCATGCGCAGATAGAGCCTAGAAAGTCTCTCAGTTTCCCTTAGGGGGAGTGGGGAGAAGGCCGCCAATTTGTCATAACCACAGGTGAGGTGAGGGTGACTGCTCACATTCTGCAAAAGAGGAAATTGAGGCTGGAAGCCATGGAAGCAGGACTGGAGCTGTCAGATTCTCCTTGTGGAGAAGAATGACTTTCGCTGGAGCTATTAGGAGTTTCCCTACACTTGCGTTTCAGCACTCACCAACTGACAGACCTACAGATGTGTTTAATTGGCTGATACAGCAGACTTTTTTTTTTTTTTTTTTTTTTT